CAGCGCATTGCCTCCTCTTCAGTCTTCAGCAATTTTTATTGACCCTCCTGACATTCCACCGCCGCAAATATTCTTCTTCTTGACGGAGGCACTCCCACCTCCTTTCCTTTGCAGCTTTCGTTGCTCTCATCCTCCCTAAAGTATGAGATATGTTTCTTCTGAAGCGCTGGTAGCAGATCCATTCTGTACTTTTAAAGGTGTCTCTATCCCTGGAATATATATATATATATATATATTTGGAAATGTTGTTTTAAGTGTTAGATCTACGTTTTTTCTATTCCTAACTCATTTTTGTCTTGACTTAGGCTTGTGGCAGTGATTTTGCTAAGGAACAATGGTGAAAAAATCCGGTGCATTTGATGGAGGTGACAAAAAGGCTAAAGCAATCGACATCAATGTGATTTTTACTTTTTTAATCGTTATTGAGTACTGTTTTTTTCCTTCCTCAATGTATTTACTTTTTTAGAAGCCCAATGTATATACTTTCAATACAAAGTTTATGTTGTTAAAGATTTATACTTTTGTATATGATTCACCATGTATGATTGACTTCATAGTTGATATAATATATATGATTTTATCTGTTATATTTGATTTTGGGCAATTTCAAGAATTCGCATGATATTGTATATTGTATTGCTAAATATAATAGATGTGATTGCGAAAATTATGTTGTTACAAAAAATATTAGTCATGCCCAAGTTTCCATAAATTATATTACCAATAATATAACAGTAAACAAATTACCAAAACAATAATCATTATTCAAATTGTATTAGCGACGGGTCAGTTCTATCACAGATATAGCAAAATGTTGTCAGAAATATGTGTGGTCGTCAGATTCGTCAATGTGGAAAAACCTTCATCGACAACCCATTTACTATAGGAACGACTTCATAGCGTCACAAATAATTTTTTCTGACGGCTTGTCACACACAAACTTTTTGTGACGCTCGTATTTGGAACGGACCACGATGGCTATATGGCGTCGCAAAATCACAATTCCGATGAAATTTGGCCTTTACTGACAAAATTCCCTGGTCGCTAATGACATTCTTTTTTGTAGTGGTTCGAGCCATCGTACCAGAAAGTATTCTTTACCATTGTTGGGAATTTTTGGATGAGGGTCTAAGTACGATAGCCCGAGACCGAGTGACTAGAATTGTGATAGAGTCGTGAACTACGTTCACTTTCCGAAAAGAATATTTTACTCTCCATAAAAGTCTTGGGTTACAGGAAATATCTCCCGAGGATAAAAATATCACCGCTTTAGGTTCTAGGCTCAAGAGCATGTGGCATCATCCACCCCACACATATATTTATAGGTTCGAATCCATGCATTGTTTCATGAAAGGTTGTCTTTATCCATATAAAAGGTTGTCCTTATCCATATGAATGGTTGCATTTATCCATATGAAAGGTTGCCGGTATCCATAAAATAATGCAACCGCCACTAGGTCAAATGGATGTGTCCCTTCATGAAATTAGAATATTGATTTGGTTAGTATAAACCCAAACCGATTGGTCGGTCCAACCCAAAAACTTATTTAACATAGTTAGTCTGGTTCAACCAAACATCCGACAGAAAGAGCAGTGATCTTTTTTCCTTTTATTCTTTTCTCTCTTTCTTTCCGGCGAACGAGACGGAACAAAGAAAAAGGGGTTTGTGTTCTTTTTTGAGTTACAATTTTCACATACCATGTCCTCATTTTTTCCATTTTCTTTATGGTTTGTTCATTCTTATCATCAATCTCTCTTCTGAGTTTGTGTTTCTGAGAGTTACAATGATTGTCCCGTTAGCTATATTCCTATGATGATTACTTAAGGAACCCAAATTTGGATTATGGCAAAACTGCTCATTTAAGAACGAGTTGGAGACGTCTAAAAAGCGATGCGACCGTATATGTACCAATGACAAATGGCGCATCTCCATAGTCAATCCGGCCGGCAGCTTTTGTTCCTATGGTCGTGTCTTTACGTTAACGCCCGTTTGTTCTTCTTCCCCATGTTACGCATAAGACATAAGCCTTTCTACAAATGTAAGGACTTCTAATCTTACTCCATAAACAAACATGGAACTTGACGTTAACCAAATTGACTTTGTTTATTGACTATGCATAGCCATATACAGTAAGCTTCTCGGTATATATACTTGGCTTCAAAGTAGAAGAAAAGAACCCTACTATAACGTCCAACTCCTTCCATAGCAAACACAGATTATTATATAGTCTTTTGCTGAAAGCTCACCATGGGTAGGCCATTTCGCAATAACATCATTGTGAAGCGTGGTGAGCCGGTCACGGTTTCACCACCTCAAGAGGAAATCAAGGAGAAAGGTGTCTTCTCCCTCTCGTTCCTTGACCACATTGTATGTTGGGTACGTACCATTTACGGGTTCAAGTCGAACGAGAGAGGGAACGAAATGGCCGGCGAAGTGTTCAAAACGGCCTTGAGCAAACTCCTCGTTCATTACTATCCTTTGGCGGGTCGACTGACAGCCGTCTCACGAGAAAAGTTGGCCGTGAGTTTCTACGAGAAAGGTGCTGTTTTCGTGGAGGCTGAAGCTGACTTTGCCATGCAAGATATTGAAGAGATGGTGCGGACTGACCCGAGTAAGCTCGTCGACTTGGTTTATGATGATGGCATTCATGGCAACGCCAAGCCTTTGCCAGAATGCCCCCTTCTGGTTGCCCAGGTAATCTATTCTTGAAGTAATAACAAGTTAACAACTAGAAAAAATCCGCTCGCTACCGCTTTACTTGTGTGCAAGAATAAATATTTTAAAGAGTAATAATTTTAATATTGTTCCAAAAGTAAAAATGATCTTACTCATTTTTAATTTTTCTTTCCATGGGTTTGTTAGTTACAATTTGTGGTCGGCGAAGCAATGAACCTGCATAAGGGTCATCGAGTATATGGTTTATGTTTAAACTTCTCTCATAACGCAATATTTTCAGTTTGTACGGTTAGTTAGCCCTCCTTTAACTTTTGTAGAAGCACCTTTTGGGTGGATCTTTTAGAGAAATATTTTGTCAGAAAAAGTTGAGGGTTTGGCTAAAAACTATTCTTGAAGTAATAACAACTAGAAAAAACCCACTAGTTACCGATTCGCGTATTAGAAAAATAAATATTTTAAAGAGTAATAGTTTTATTGTTGACCCAAAAGTGAAAGTAATCTTATTTCATTATTAATCATTCTTTTCCATAAGTTTGTTATTTAAAATATAGCATATGGTCGATGAACTCAGTGGCAGAGGCAGGATTTGAAACTACCCCTGTCCTCTTTTCAGAATATAAACATATAAATAATGTCTAAATATAATTAAAATTAATAATGTCTAAATAATCCATTCATAAATAAAGAAATAACTGACTATACAATTATTATTTGCATAAACTATCACAATGAGTTTTCATATTCTAAAATAAATGTAAAATATATCAATTGTCTACCTCTTAAAAAAGTCTCTTTCAATGTATCCCACTAAACAATCATTAGCAAATCGATTGCCAATTCGACTTTGAAACTTGTTTTTAAGATAACTCAAGCTAAAAAATGTTTTTTTCTTCTAAACTTGTAGTTGCAACTGCTAACTGGTAGAATCAAAACTACCTTTAGAAGCAAATAAACTTAAGAAAATGACATACACTTATGTCTCAACCATTACTCGTGATAATTCATCACGAACAAACCGATGACGAATAATAATATCATGAATGGAACCAATAAATCAATTAGTCTTTTTGTCAATTCATGAACAAGTAATGAGTTGTGGTATAGTGGCAAAATATTCTTATGTTACATGTAAGAATGGTATTTTTTCGAGCCCTGAATTTTACACCTGTCCTGGGACAAGGACAAAGGTGGCTGGCTCCGCCTATGGATGAACTTGCATAAGGTAGAAGGGTCGTCGAATAGATTATTTATGTTTAAACTTCTTCATGATGCTTCGATATGTATGGCTAGTAATTGATCCTGCTGTAACTTTAGCAAAATAAATCAACTTCTCTGGATATTTTCCAGAAGTATTTTAAAAAACTGTTAAGTGTTTAGTTAAAAACTATCACAATTACTTTCTAATATAAGAGGTGATTTAAGATGACTAAAAATGATTTATAACATAAAATATGAATACAAATTCTAAAAGTAAAAAAGTATTTAAAATGAATCACGTTAGAATTATATCATATTAATTAATACTATTTTTTCAATTTTTTATAATGATATAAATGAAAGAAAATTATGTTTTCTAGAAAAATAACAATATATGGTAAGTAAAATTTTGTATTTTGGAATTGGAGTTTCTGCTTTTAAGTTACGAAAAACTTACACTATTTTAAAAAGCGAAAATTTAGAGGTGTTTGGCTTGGCTACAACTTTTGAAATACAAAACTTCTAAAATTCGGGGAAAACATAGTCATACTCTTTTGGATTTTTTTGGGTTTGAGGTAATCGTGGTTCTCCTTTATGAAATTTTTGGACTGACTTTAGGTTTGAGTAGGTTCAACTCGCATTGATCGGGTCAAATTAGGTTGTAAACTCATGGATTTGGGTTCAATTGTCTTTCTCAAACAAAAGGAAAAAGTGAAATGAAAAACACTAAAGCTAAAACTAGCTACTGACTCAAAACTCGTCAACACCAAGTTCAACTCGCTTTGACCAGGTTGGACCAAGTTTGGACAAATTCACATCTGACACAACACGCTAATTACAAAAATACATAAAACTCGCTCTCACCGAAAACCTGTAAAATCGAGTTGAAGTCGCTTTGGTCGGGTCGAATTAGGTTGTATACCCATGCGTTTGGAATCAATTGTCATTCTCAACCAAAAGGATAAAGATAAAAAAAAACACTAAAGCGGATAAAACTGGCTCATGACCCCAAACTCTCAACACTGCGTTCAACTCACTTTGACCGAGTCAAGCCGGTTTTAATAAATTCACAATTTACCTAACCTGTCAATTATAAAAGCAGATAAAACTCGCTCTCGATATGAAACACGTCAACAATGAGTCAGAGTTCAATTGTCATCCTCAAAGAAAAGAAAAATGAGAAATAAAAAAAGTTAAAGTGTACAAAACTTGCTTTCGATCTAAAACTGGTCAACAATGTGTTCAACTCACTTAGAACAATTTTTTAACAAATTAAAACTTGGTCCAACCTGCCAGCTATAAAAGCGGATAAAGCTCACTCACAATATAACACTCTTCAAAACATTAGATTCGGGTACAATTATCTTCCCAACCAAAAGAAGAAGAAAAAAGAAAAATTTATAAATGCTAAAGTCTGTTTCAAGTCGCTTTGACCGGATCAAATTAGGTTGGGTATCTATGGATTTGGGTTCAATTGTTATCATGCTCAACAAAAAGTAAAAAGTGAAAGAAAAAACACTAAAGCGAATGAAACTCGATCCAGATACAAAACTCGCCAACATTGAGTAGATATAGTAAGGATTTTTTATAGCGACATTGGGTTCAATTGTGATCATGCTCAACAAAAAGGAAAAAGAGAAAGAAAAAAACACTAAAGAGGATTCATCTCGGTTCCGATACAAAATTCGTGGTAGCAGCCTTGGAAAATGATGGTGGGGAATAATTTAGGATTGCACCAACAATATTTCGAGATAGGCTGCAAAATGGTGGGCAAAGGCGATGATTTGTGTTCAAATTAGGATACTCATGTGTTTTGGTTCAATTGTGATCATGCTCAACAAAAAGGGAAAAAAGAAAGAAAAAAACACTAATGAGGATGAAACTCGGTCCAGGTACGAAACTCGTGGTAGCGTCCTTGGGAAACGGTGGTGGGGAACAACTTAGTATTCCGCCAACAGTATTTCAAGATGGGCTGCAAAATGATGGGCAAAGCCAGTGGCAGATTCAGAAAATTTTCACAGGGGTGTCCTCTTCAAAAGTTAAAAAATAATATAAATAAATTCTGTGTCTGCACTATTCAAAAAAAATCTACATATCCTACTAGACAATACTTCACGAACTTATCACATATTCGATTTCTAGCCTTGTTCTTAATGTAGCTCAAAGTAGAAAAGACTCTTTCAACACTTGTCGTGTAACCATAAAATCAATTCAAAATTAAGGGTAGCGTGTACGTAGTTTAATTATTAGGTATTGAAAATAGTTGGGGATAAGGAAATAGCGTTTTACTGATTGCATGATGATTAAAATAGAATAACAAATGAGTAGCAACATAATTAGAATATGTTTGATAATAGTAGTGTCCTAGGTTGGAATAACACGGACTACCACTTATATTTTGTTAATCATAAGCAAACTATTATCGAGGGTAGGATAATCATTTTTTTCAAATGTTAGGGTGTCCCGGATTACCAATTATATTTTGTATACCCATACGAAACTACTACCGGAGGTTGGATAATCGTTTACCCAAATTTTAGGGGTGTCCCGGGACACCCCTACATGCCCATGTATCCGCCCTTGGGAAAAGCCGAGGATTTATATTCAAGGTAGATACCCATGTGTTTGGGTTACTCAACAAAAAGGAAGGAAAAAAAACACTAAAGAAGATGAAACTCGGTCCCGATAAAAGAAGGACTTGGAACTTCCCCACTTGCACTTGAGGAGTGTGAGAGCCACTAATAAATAGCAACTCACAACCTAGGCTTTAATATATTAATAATTAATACGACGGTAATTTGATGTCAATATTTATTTGATCTCAATCCTGCATCCATTGACGAATCAAAGTTGGTTGCAGGTGACAAAACTCAAATGTGGAGGATTCATTTTCGGAATGTGTATCTCTCATTGCTTGGCCGATGGTTTTACAGCGACGGAGGTGGTGAACTCATGGGCCGAGATTGCAAGAGGACTGCCAATTTCAGTGCTTCCTAGTTTAGATAAGAGATCTCTTCTACCACGTAATCCTCCGAAGGTTGAGTTCCCTCATCCGGAGTTTACAAATATAGAGAACAAGTCATCATCATCTAACTCAAATGACTTCTCCAAAGAGAACATGGTGTGTAGGGTTTTTCATTTTAACCGTGAATCGATAAAGGAACTGAAATCAAAGGCTATGGAAGATGGAGTTCTTTCCAAGTGCTCCACTTTCGAATGCCTTACAGCTTTCATTTGGATAGCTCGAAGCAAGGCGTTGAACATGGTTGCCGATCAGGAAACCAAACTCATGGTACCTGTGAATGTGAGGGAGAAAATGGATCCGCCATTGCCTAAAGGGCACTTGGGGAATGGAATTGCAGTGGCTTGCACCATCAGCAAAGCTAAGGACTTGAACAACGAGTCATTTTCAACAACAGTGGGGTTGGTTCAAGATGCAATCAAGATGGTTACAGATGCTAGCGTTAGATCTTCGATTGATTGTCATGAGCTGCATAGAAGTATGCATTCTCTTGGACATACTATTCTTGCGACAACCTGGTCCAGGATTCCCTTTTGCACCACTGATTTTGGGTGGGGAGACGCTATTTTTATGGCACCCGTAGCGTTGCCCTTTGATGAGATGGTGATATTTTTCCCCAACAATGGGAAAGAGCACTATGGAGATATGATTGTTTATATAGCTTTACCAGAATCGACAATGAAGACCTTTCAAAACCTTGTGATGATGTAGACGCTAATGATGTGTGTTTCTTGTCTTTTCTCGGATATTTGTTTTTAAGGTTGTGCCTTGTACTTTTCATTTTGCGTAGATCTTTCTTGTATGTTCAATTATCTCTTAATAATGTTATGGGCTTCTTGACTCATGCTTCTACGTGAACTAGCTCGATTAGATGGCTAGTTGAATACAATGTATGAACTGTCTCGTTTTGAACTTATGAGATGTCCCAACATTGTGACTAGAGAGCCAATTTGACTACAGCTTATGAGAAAATTAATCTATATTTTATGAGTTGGTTTGTTAATGATGCATATAATTATTAAATTGTATATGTCACCTCATATGTTGTTTAATACATTGAGTATATGTAAGCAAATAGGTCTCATATATGACATAATATTAGGTAATCACATGTATCACATATGACATATAAATATTAGGGTATTTATATAATAAATTATCTTAGAGTTGAGGTCGAACTGAACTTTCAATCTTAATGATCTGTCAAGATTTAATAAATGAGTTGGCTCGTGTTCGACTTGACTTGGCTTGTTTATAAACGAACCGAACATGAACAAGCCAAAACTCGGCTCGACTCGGCTCATTAACAACCCTACTCCCATGTAATATTCCATTGTAATATTTCATTCACGTGCAATGCATTAACAGCCCTACTCCCATGTAATATTACATTGTAATATTTCATTCACGTACAATGCAGGGCAAAATAAATAGTTGTGAGTAAGAAAGTCTACGGAATGTGAAGTTTATTTTGATATATAAAAGTCTAGTTTTGATGTTACTATTCATTAGTGGCTCACACACTCCTCCTTGCAAGTGGGCAAGTTTCAAGTTTCACCTTTTACCTCACCCTCTCATTCTACAACCTTTGTGTTCATTAATTGTCTGTTGGGTCTACATCTATTGCTTATTAATTAATTAATTAATTAATATATAAAGGCCTAGGTTTGGTGTTACTATTCATTAGTGGATCTCACACTCCTCCTTGCAAGTGGGCAAGTTTCAAGTTTCATCTTTTACCCCACTCTCCCATTCTACAACCTTTGTGTTCATTTATTGTCTGTTGGGTACTCTACATCTATTGTCCTTGCAAAGCGACTTGAATCTTGTTTTACAGGTTTTGGCGGGAGCAAGCTTTATCTATTATTGTAATTGGCGGGTTGTGTCAGGTGTGAATTTTCCCAAAACACGGTTCAACCAGGTCAAAGCGAGTTGAAACTGGTGTTGACGAGTTTTGAGTCGGTAGCGAGTTTTAGCTTTAGTGTGTTTTATTTTGCTTTTTCCTTTTGTTTGATAAAGACATTTGCACCCAAATCCATGGTATCCAACCTAATTTGACCCGATCAATGCTGAACCTACTCAAACTTGCAGTCAGTCCAAAAAATTCATAAAGAAGAATCACGATTACCTCAAACCCAAAAAAAGTCAAAGGAGTACGTCTATGTTTGGCCAGAATTTTAGAAGTTTTATGTTTCGTAACTTAAAAGCATAAGCTTGAAAATACAAAATTGTACCATATATTATTCTTTTTTTAGAAAATAAACTTTCTTTCATTCTTTTTTTTCATTATTTTTTTTGGAATATTCCAGAGCTAAGACCACTCTAATGCTCCCTTTCGCCATGCATAAACTGAACCAAAAATTTGGATAAGCACAAAAATTAATATCATTATAAAAAAATAAATTGAAAATTGTATTATTTAAGATAAAATAAATCTAACGTGATTCATATAAATAATTTTTAATTTTTAAAATTTGTATTTATATTTTATGTTAGAATTTTTTTTAGTCATTTTACATTATCTCTTATATTAGTAAGTAATTCTCTTATTTTTTTAGCTAAACACAAAACTATTTTTTTAATACTTCTTGAAAAGAAGCTGCTTAATTCTTCAAAAGGTACAACAATATCAACTACTAACCATACAAATTGAAACAATAGCGTCATTAAAGAAGTTTAAACATAATTAATCTATTCGACGACCTTTCTACCTTATGAAAGTTCATCGTCCATATGCTATTGTAAATAACAAACCTATGAAAAGAATGATTAAGAATGAAATAAGATTATTTTCACTTCTGGTTTAACATTAAAAAAATTTATTTTTCTGATACGCGAAACGATAGGGAGCGGGCTTTTGCTACTATCATGTAAGCATGAGAAATGCTTGTTCAGTTTATTGTGGCTCACGTTTCTGTTTCTCCCCCGTAAGGCCGTAGCTCCTCTTCTCTCCTCTTAAATGGATAGTATGGGTATTAACAAGTAACATGTGGGTAATTATAAAAAATTTTGTTCCCAAATTCAATCGCGTAAAATAAATTATGGATATTTGGATACCTAAATAACTCTAATAAAAAGTAGATGGGTATGGTATACCTTAAAAATTCCGAAAATTCAAATAATCTCATTATTTATAATTTTGATCCAAACAATTTTGAAAAAATTAAATAAAAACAAATAAATAATTTGCTTCAGGCTCATTCGCGTTCATCGTTTCGCGAAACCCCCTCCCATCATTGTCGTGGGTAGGTTGGATAGGAAGATTTCAGTGCAGAAGCCATCTCTGAGACTCTGACCTACTTTTTCGAATAGCTTCGTGTTCTCAGATATGGTGGCTCTCGACCGCCTCAAATACGTCATCGGCGGATGTTTCAGGCTCTTCAGCATCGATGGGCTCGCCGCTGGGCTCGTGGTTGAGCAGCAGCTCTCTGTTCGATTCAACGCTATCGATTAATGGTGGATCTAGTCCCGACGGTAAATTGGGATCGCAGTCTTGAAGGGGTATGGGGTCGGGGAAGAAGGGTTTGGGGTTGAGTTTTCTTTTGTTTCTTTCCACTTTGCATCGAGATTTCATTTCCTTCAATTATAGTTCTAATTCCATTTCCCTTGTTCCTTTGCTTCCAGATACTTCGCGAGGAGGAAGACTCCTTCTCCAGATTCCATACAAACTCCTGCCATCTTTGCCTCCCCTACTGCCACCTTCATACACAACACTCTGGTTCAGAGCAAAGCTGAAACCCCTGTCATTTCTTCCCAATCACCCGTTGAAAGAGAAATTTTACAATGCTATATAGTATTAGTGCTATAGGAATTTGCTTTTATGGTACAACATAAAATTGTATGTTTATGTTATGGTATAATTTCATATTGTACCTATACTTTTTGTACAAAATTTTTTATGGTACAACTTGTACCATAACATAATGGTACAAATTGTTTTATGGTACAACCTAAACTTATACATTTAATGTTATGGTACAACTTTAAGTTGTACATTAAAGCACCAATACTATATAGCATAGTAGAAGTGCTCCCCATTGAAATTGTCCTCCTGGTAAGTTAAAACCCCTCTTCTTCCCGAGTTTTACACAAAAATGGTTGCTTGGGCAATCTTTATCTGGCTTGCTTTCCTTTACTCTCATACCCTTCTTCTAACCTCCTCAATTTCGGAGTATCTTCTTTTACCTCACTCTCTCATTCATGAACCACTGTCTACAACTATTATTCTCTATGTTTCCCACTGCAGTTATTGTCCACTAGCTTTTCAACTATTGTTCACTGTTTTCTCGGTAATAGCTATTATCCACTGAATTTTTATTATATAAGATGTGAATTACTATTCATTAGTGACTCTCAAACCCTTTCAAGTGTAATCATCTTTCACGAGCACTACCAAATTTTTGGCATTATTAAATATGTCTTTGCGGTAATCACCATTGTCATCTCAAACAACAATGAGATGCTAGCAATGAATTGTTATTGTCCTCTATTAGCCACTTATGGTAATCACATAGTCTTTTTTTTTACTTAATATTATGTTCACACTCACACGCGAAGCGTCAGCGAGTAGGCCACTAATAGTTGTTAATGATGGAGATGGAAACTTGTTCATTCCATTTATGATTGAATTAGAACAGATGGTTGGAAGCAATGCAGTTAAAAGCGCGATTCTACCTAGAAACGGAAAATGGGTAAAATCGTAAAACGTAGAATCAAAGCGTAAAAGCATAGTATGTTTTTTACGCACCCTCTAAAATAGCTAAAATATGTTAAGTACAACATATAGTATGTAAAATGTGAGTCTGTAGATTTTAGATAAGTGAATAACTACATGAATTTCAAAATTAAAATGTAATATCTAACACATAAACTAATTTGTGTTGACTCAAAAGTAGAGAAAACTCATAACATCTTAATAATAAGCTCATAAACGTAAATCGTAACCCGTAAACGAGCTTGAGAATCTAAATTCTCATAAGCTGGTTTGAGTTTACATAATTACATACGATCAATTACCTATAAAATTTTATCGTAACCTAGGTAAGAGCCACATGTCAAGATTAAGGGAGAAGACTGATAGAAGGTCAGCGACTGTTGAGAAAACCATTAGGTGTCTTTTCAACCTAGTGTGAAGCCCCTATCTCGACACAAGTTGTAGAACGAGTGATGAATCATGTTTTCCTTTTTTTTATTTTTTGCTGATATGTCTCCAAAATTACATCATTTTGGGCCAATTAGTGCATTTTTATGAGATTATCAAAATCGTATAAAAATGCTTCAGAATCGCGATTTTAAGCGATTTTACCGATTTTAACCATGTTTTTACCAATTTTTGTGACTAAGCGACTTTAGATAAAAACTGAAACGTTTTGGTGGCCTGGATACGTAAAAACGTAAGTTTTTACGTTTTAATGCACGATTTTGACTGCAATAGTTGGAAGCATTCCAAATCCTTCGATTCCCATCAACAATTATGATGATGACGACGTTATCAAAATCATTAACATCGAATCTTATCCTGAGTTCATATATCTATCTACTCCTTAAATGGAGGTCGTCGATGAAGAATGGTTAGATTTCTTTGGTGATAGCAGGGATTGGGTATATAACGATGTTGGCGGAGAGCATCAAACCAACTATTTGACTCTATAGGACATGTCTATCGATGATTAGTACTTCACTATGGGTGAGTGCTAGGATGTAATGAAAAAAGAGGAAGTTGAGAAATCGGAGCACGAAAAGGAATACTCCGAGGTAGAGACCGATGAATGTCCCTCTAACCTTGACTATATGTATATAATATTCTCCTTTTAAGGATTAGAGATATATGTATGTGTGTATATATACATATGGTAATAGTATATGTATATACCTATGTACATTATGTATTTGCATAATGAATATATAAAACGGTTATTATTTTTCAAGTGGAATTGTGATTTGTTTGAATTTTCTAGACTAGTGTTTTATGTATGGATAATTTGTATGACGAAATTGACATTTGGATTTTATTTTGATAGAAACTTGGTATTGTAAATGTTTTACCACAAAAACCCATAGGTACCCATGAACCCGTGGATACCCAGCGGGTTGGGTTGGATTTGAGTTTTCCAAACCTGATGGGTTTTATCCCTGTGGTTTTTTTACGGATAAACCCATGGGTTTGAGTTTGGCAAAACCCGAATCAACCCGACCCATTGCCATCCCTACGTGAGACTTGTGGGGACTTGTGGGAAAGGTCTATCTAAGTAAAAAATTTGCAAATATAATGCGAAGGTTGTGTTCAGAGTAAGCTGAATATAGTGCAAAACTGGATACCTTCAATGTGTTGGAGATAGAACTTGGTTAATGTAAATCTAAAAGATTGAATTACAAGGAAGCCATATAGGCATATACCATTGAAAAAAATTTCGCATGGGAGCTCATTAAAATGGGTTATTGAACTTAGTCTGAATTACTTATGGTATATGTGTACATTTATACCATGAATTACTTATGGTAAGTCGAGTTATCTTCAAAAAAATGTCATTGGTAGGTAATTAAATGAAATTTCAAGTATATTATGGAAATGCATATGAATTACTTGTAGCATCTCAAGCTACCTTGAATAAAACCACTTGTAAGTAATTAGATGAATTGGTTTTTGTATGCTAATTGGATTAGATGCATATGAATTACTTGTGGCATCTCATGCACTGGTAAACAATTAATTGGAGTAGTGGTTGTCAAGTTCGATAAGTAAAACCATGAAAAATAAATGAAATTATTTCATGATGTTTGGCAAATGATAAAATTGTGGGGAGAAGAGCTGTTAGTTTCAACAACTATCTCAAAAACCTACAAAGTAGAGGTGGAAAACAATAAGGCCCAGTTAAACTGGACCGGATTAACCCGTTTTTTATATACCACAACCTAAGACAAATTAGATGACAGTTGGTTTTAACGAAGACTGGATTGGATCTGGTCCGATCCAATCCAATTTAACCCAACAATCACAATTAAAAAAATTAAACGAAAATGACATCGTGTAGTCATTTAGCTGTACAAGAAATCACAAAATCGTCCACCTACCGGCTACAGGAGGGGCTAGTGTGCTAATTTTTCTAGTAGCATGGTCCTAACACTAGCTCCAACCAATAGAAAGATTTCGTTTGGATGACTTTTTCATTTAAATGAGTTGACCACAATTAATGAAGTGGAAGAGGCGGAAAGGTACCCTGCTTATTAATAAAAATTAGGGGAAGGGGGAGTCACTTGTGTCTTGTGCAATTAAATAGGAAAGGGAAAATCCACCCCACAAACCACAAATCTAGGTCACAAACCACAAATCCACACCACAAAATCCAGACAAATTTCTTAAAGTAGCCAAGAAGTTTCTTAAACAGTGGACCTATTTGTAAAATTTTAAAAATTCTGGTATCAAAATGTAAAAGAAAAAACTTTAGGTACTAAAACATATTTTTCCATCAATATTTTTAGGACTTATATGTAAAAAATTAATTTTAGACACTAAATAATTATGTATTAAGTTTGGGTACCAAAACTATAATTTGTATATACAACCCTATTACCAACGTAGAAAAAGGGGGGAACGGTAAGGGGAATGATAATTACCATAGCACACTTAATAAGAGTGTTAGCATGGTGCTAACATTTAAGGGTGTTAGCACCCTATCTTTCTCAAATCCCCGGGCTACTACCACCACACAATTATTATCTAATTCTCAAATCCCAATTCCTCACGATTCGACGATGGCGATCAAGCTCTTCTCATGTGGAGCCGATCAAACAAGGCGACAAGCGACGGCCTATCGGCCTCTCCTTCACTTATCTCTTTATTTTCTTCCATTTACAACTTTCGGCTAAGGTAAGGGACTGGAGTAAAAAGGCGAAATGGTCGGTGGTAGCCTAGTGATTGTGGTGAGGCAAGAATCATAAGGCGGAGTAGCAGAGATTGTGGCAGACATCTAGCGAGGGTAGGAAGATGGAGAGAGATCGATTGGGAGTGGGGGCATGCAACCTTAGAGATCTCCTAGATGTGCTTCATCGATGTCGTCGTTGCCTCATCATGGTGGGCTTCATCATCACTGTCAGTATCACTCAAAGCGCAGCTGCTCAGTTGAGAGTGAGGTTTATTTATAAATTAGTGTTGTGTTCGAGACGGGTCGCCAGTGATTATTTTGGACTTTGAGTCTGCTGGGCTGGGCTGGGCTGTTATGTAGATTTGGGCTATTGGAATTTGGACTTTAAGTTAGGAGTTGGCAGTTGGCTATTTGTGATATCTGGCTTTTCAATTTTTTGGATTTAACCTTATTGGACTTGGTCAGTCTTTGTGTGATTGTGTCCACTACTACCGCGACAGTAAACCAAATTTTATTGTGATAGTACGATCTTCAATTGCAACCTAACTCGTTTATACGGTTTGGTTTCCGGTTTAATTGAAAAATCGAAACTGTATTACAAGCCCTACTACAAAGAACGCAAAGCTATCCATAAGACAAAAGTAGAAAGATCAAAACAAGTCATACTTGAGAGTATGAATGTGTCTAGTGAGAAAGTGCAGAGAGCTAGTCTAAGAAATCCAATGGTATAATTTATGTGTAAAATCTAGCATATACTGACATTTACGTCAAAGAGCTAGTCTAAGAAATCCAAAGAATTTTATTGAGAAATGTTAATACACTATTCCTAAAATAAAATATGTCAACCATAAAAATAAATGTATTGTAAATTAAATAATTCATCTAATTTATGGACTAAACGTTATTTAGTTTGTGAATTTAGGGGTCTTTTGAAAGTTACGAATGTTAAATCGTTGCATTGTAATTAATTACAATAATATAAATGCATGTGTTGATACAATGGATACATTTTAACAATACATTGTTTGATTGTTGAGATTATACTTAATGCATTGATTTGCATAAAGTTACTTTTATGGGGAAATGTCATATTTACCCTCAACTTTTAGTATAAGACAAAAACTATTAGAGATATAAATGGAAAGAAAAAGTTGACACAAATCTAAAAGCAACAATCTCAACTTTATTTGAGATTGTATAATGCATCATTTTTGTGATTGTTGGTGGGACCTACCTAGAACAATGCATGCATTGTTTTACGGAAAAAATCCCAAAGTACACTAGTTTTTAAAAAAAATTCCCAAAATACATTAGTTATAAAAAAAATTCCAAAACTACACATGTTTGAGCATCACCGTTTTTGTCTAAAACGGTGAAGGTCATCACCGCGTTTGACAAACACGGTGAGTACTTCACCGTTTTAAACTAAAACGGTGAAGGCTTCACCGCTTTTGTCAAAAACGGTGAAGTACTCACCGTTTTAATTTAAAACGGTGAAGTACTCACCGTTTTTTACTAAAACGGTGAAGCCTTCACCGTTTTTCTAGGACGCGGTGAAGTAGCTGACGTGGCAGACACGGGGTATTCACCGCGTTAGACAAACACGGTGAATAACCCGTGTCTGCCACGTCAGCGATCCGCCTCAGTGTGTTTTCACCGTGGCCGTTAGATGCGGTGAGGCGCGGATCGTGGTTTTCTTCCCGCGATCCGACGCCTCACAGCAAGCCACGTGGACGGGGAGCCTGATTTGGGGAAGGACAGTCCTTCACCGCGTTCATCAAACGCGGTGAATGCTCCCCCACATTTACTGCGCAGCAGCTCCTCCCCCCCTTCCCCCAACTATAAATACCCCCTTCCCCTTTCACTTTCAACTCACCCCACAAACATTTCACTTCTTTCTCCCTCAATTTATCCGCTCTAGTCTCGTTCTAAGTATGCTCTGTGGTTGCGGCTAAGTCCGATCTTCCACATCAGAAAGAATTACTAGAGTTTGACCCTAAAGCCCCCGTCCCGCTAAGTTCCCGTCCCTTACAAAGCTAAACCCGTCGAACCTCTGTCCGGCTTCCGCCAATAATGGACGAAGAGGCTCTTCGTGTAGGTTTTTTGGTTTGTGATTTTTTTTAATCGAAACAATTTGATTTATTTTTTATCAAAACAATCTCTGATTATATTATTTTTTTATAGATGGGTGCCGAGATATACGATCCTCGATTGTATATCCATTATGGCCCAAGGGATGCGAGTCTATTAACCGATCAGCAAATGCATCGCTCCCGTGCCATTTGGGATAACAATCCGGTAATTTGATGAACTGACTTGCTTTATTTTATTATTTTCTAATGTTTTATTTTGCTTTATTTAATCTAATTAATTGATGTTTTTCCTATTTTTTTTAGGAATCTCTTGTTCCCGTGGTTCATAAAGGGACCAATAACTTGCCCGCTTGGCATCCAAGGTTGGAGCCCTATATAGCGAGGACCGGTTTGGGAATGTTGCGCCATTTCTTGCGGATCGAGATCGACAACGAGCTGCTTACGGCAATGGCGGAACGATGGCGTCCCGAAACCCATACATTCCACCTTGCGGAGGGGGAAATGACGATCACCCTCAAAGACGTGGCGATCCTCACCGGGCTTCCTATATCTGGAGATGCCATCATTGGCAACACGACCAAACCCGAAGGAGGTTGGGGGCCGCTCATCCGTGATCGTTTGGGCTTCGACATGCCGACCACCACACCAAATCAAGGACGGGGGCATCCACCGTTGAATGCGGGGCAAGTGTCGGTCCCGTGGCTGGTATCTCACATCCAGCAAGAGGTGGAAATCAATGACGAGACACCGGAAGAACAAGTCGAGCGCTACGCCCGCATCTACCTCATCGGTTTGGTGGGTGGATTTTTGTTCCCCGACAAGTCCAACCGGTGGATTCAAGGCATATGGTTGCCATTGCTCACCGGTGACTGGGATGCAATTGGAGAGAAGAGTTGGGGATCGGCCGTGCTAGCGGGCGTATACCGGGAGCTGTGTACTTGCTCGAGGGTTGGGGCAAAGCAAGCTGGTGCTGCGATGTTCATCGTTCAACTGTGGGTATGGGAGCATCTTCCAATGTTCGCACCTCTCGACCCACGTCCATACCGGAGAAACGATGATGAGCTCAACCTTCTGCAAAATCTCCCCTACGGTGTCAAGTAAGTTTATTCCGTACTTAGCCCAATTTAAATTTTATTACATGCTTGAGCTAGATTTAAATTGAATTTATTCCGTACTTAGCCCAATTTAACTTTTTATTACATGCTTGAGCTAGATTTAAATGAATTTATTCCGTACTTAGCCCAATTTAACTTTTTATTACATGCTTGAGCTAGATTTAAATTGAATTTATTCCGTACTTAGCCCAATTTAACTTTTTATTACATGCTTGAGCTAGATTTAAATTGAATTTATTCCGTACTTAGCCCAATTTAACTTTTGATTACATGCTTCAGCTAGATTTAAATTGAATTTAAATTGATTCCGTACTTTTACTTACAAGGTGGATAGGAGCAAATACGAATGACCATCAGCCTGAGCATTCGTTACTGTTTTATCGTTCTGAGTTAGATAAACCATGGTGGAATCAGGTAATCATGTTTTGTCCATATTTGAACAAGATCAATTTTATCAAAGTAAATGGTCGTTAATTCCGAATTTTTGTGATTTTAGGTTATATGGGATCCATATCCACGTGAAGTGGTTGAGCTGCATCATCTTAGGCACCCTCTGGATCACGAGACGTGGTTGTGCAAGGTGCCATTGATCTGTTGGCACATTGTGGAATGGCACCTACCCGATCGATCCCTGAGGCAGTATCGAATGGAGCAACCAATTCCACAAGACCCGCCAGCAGGTTTCAAGGAGCTACATGCTATGGACCTCCGAAACAATGCAAACTGGACGCTAAAGCATGGATTCTACATCAACATCTGGGAGAATCGATCCCAATGGGTGGTGCAAGGGATGCCGGAGACGAGACCGATGGGCTACCACGATGGGTACATGCAGTGGTATCGGAAGTTCACCTTGAGATGGGTGTCAAAGCAAGGTGCTGTGATGGGTTCGGTGGTAAGTCATCCTAATCTCCCTCATTCTTAAATATATTTATTTTAATGTTTAGTTAATTTGATATATTTTGTGCTTTCCTTAGGTTGATGGTTTGGAACATGCGAAGTACACTCTCGAAAGTGCTCCAACCATGGATGAGCGGAAGACTACTTGGTTGACCCGACTTATGAATAACCTCCTGAGTTGCACCAGAGAGCAAAGGAGGGATGTCGTGGCCTATCCTCCCGTTCCTGCCCCGGCACGACCCTCATTCCGTGATGATGCAGCCATTGTGCCCCCGGTTGAGCCTCCACGAAGGAGCAAACGCAGGCCTTTGCCTACGTTCGAAGAGGTGCGTACCACTCAAGAAACCGAGCTCCCCGAACCGTTCGAGTACCAGTGGGCACCTACAGCGGATGCCGGTGGAGGCTCATCGAGTCGTGGGGGATCTCAGGAATGGGACACTTTCTCTCATGGGTTCTCTCAATTCCAACATCAGCAACAAAGTTCGATGTTTCAGACCCCGCAACAACAAACTCCGATCATTCGTCAAGCTACCGCTCCAACTCAGCCACCACCACCACCATATGTAACCCCAGTTGGGGCTCGGGTCAAGAGAAATCCGCGACCAGCCGTTGAGCGAGCCCTCCAAGAAGCAGCGGCAGAGGGGGGAAGAAGGGGTCGAGGACGTCGTGGAGGACGAGGAGGAAGAGGTGGCGATGGGGGCCAAAACGAAGCAAATTAGTGAATTTATCGTTTTATCATTGTAGTGAACTATCAATGTTGTTTTTGTGATTTTTAGGTGTTGTTATTTGAGTTTGCATTGTCTAAAAACTATCCTACGCACTTAAGTTGTCGAATGAATTTTCTGGATCATTTTATCAAGAATCAGTATCTTTCCTCAACACAAAAAAGTTGGGCAAATCAACCACGATCGCATAGAATTTTACAGATCCCAATTCCGAGTCCAAACGAGTGAGATAAGTGACGTCAAAGCGTGATCGTATCGTTAAAGTAACTTTTGCGTACTATAAACTAAAACGCCCGTATCTTATTCGTTTGAGGTCGAAATAACGAGCCGTTTGCGGCCGCGCGATCGTATCGACAAGGAAAACATTTTTGATTTAACAAAATACTTGGACTTCAAATGCAAACGTTAATTAAAAATTAAACAAGCGATCAATTTAGTAGCAGAATACAAGTAAATGCAAATTAAGTTGATGGTTGTCCTGGGCAACGCCTCTTGTCGTGACCAGGTTGTCTGCACTTAGAGCATCGCTTCGGTCCCCTTCTCGTCCGTTCAACTTGATCCATCTCATTGTGTATCCTTTCAACTCTAGGACGGCCTTTGGTGCGTTTTAGGTGCAACGGTGGGATAATCAACTTTCCAGCGTATATAGGCCAATACGCTTCATCTGGCATGGGGCTCAAAGCTGCATGATATGAGTTCCGTATCGCTTGTTCAGTGTAGTAAGGACTCACCAGGCTGTTTCTGTTCATGGTTATTGACTTAGCAACCGCCATTGCATGTGAACAGGGTATCCTTTCGTTCTGATACTTTTGACAAGAACACTCCCCTAATTCGTAGTGCAATTTGACCGTTTGACGATTGTGACCACGTCTCCCTCCACCCCATATACCTGTTTCGACAGCGAATATTCCTTCACTGCGGTTAAAAAGAACAACCTTATGCTTACTTGATTTTTCATCGTTCTTCTGCATTTGAGCAAATACGTCATGTGCTATTGAATGACCTTGCAACTCCCTCCCTATAGCTAGCTGTAGCCGAGCAACTCGCCACTCGTTGACCTTCCAATAAGACATTTCCACGATGACAGAAATAGGCATCGCTCGAAGACCCTTGTAAACATTATTTATACTTTCTCCATGGTTCATCTAGCCCCGTTGTCCATATGGAACGTCCACATGGGCAACTCTTGACCTTCAGCCCATACTGCTCCAGCTCGGTGGGTCTGACGGATCGTTTTCATGATCTGC